AATGGTTGGTCATAAATAATATTCTATATTTAACTGGTAGGAAAATACTGATAAATGGGAGTGATGAGGAGGGAAAAGGTAAAACATGTACTGATTAGCACATGTTTTAAAGACAATAATAGAAAGAATATGAGATGAATGGAGTCTTGAAGGATTGTTGGAAACGGAAGGAAACAAAAATGACATTTATTCAGTAAGGAAAGCATCATTCATTTATCTTCATAACACAAAATAGAACTTAGGGGAATGTGAGTCCATGTCGCTACACACTAATGTCCAGTAGGTGGCGGTATGCACCTTAACGTTGCTTTCGATCCGCCATATTAGAAAAGAAGAAGTAAATAATATTGCTAAACACTGGGGGAAAAATTAGCAGTCTGACATCAACAAAACCAGATGTACTGAGGAATATATATCAGTATCTTACGCTTTCTAACTATGTGTTCGTTTAAAAAATAAACTTGCTCAACTGTTGATTGAAGTGGTCGACAGAGCTGAAGGTACACGATCATTTTATGAAATTAATATTTTTTTGCTATTTCTAACTTAGATACGAACATTATGCTAATGATTTACATGTAAAACACACATATTCGGTGATAACTGACACAAAACCTTATTTTAGCTGTAGCTAATCTGTCACTCATAGATGTAAACAAAAACAAACAGAAGGTAGAACTTGTTTCATGTCTGAAATGTTAGCTTTACAGTTTTATTTTGTGTGAATTTAGCACTAGCTATTATTAGCCAGCACAGTTGGGCTGAGTCAAAGGTTGTTATCAGGATGTGACAGTTTTAGGGAGTAACAGCAATGAGAGCCTCCACACCCACTGCCACTAATCATTTAAAACATTGACTTTCTGGATTCTTTTGCCCTGTTAGCTTTGACACTAAAACACCTCCTTTATTGTTATTTCTTTGTTTCTATTTAATATTAATTAGTGTTTCTTTGCCAGTATGCGTGTATTAGTTCTTAAAGAGCCAAGAGATGAGAAGTCTGGACCTGATCCTTACATTAAGGTAATTAAATAATACCCCAAATTCAAAAGAAAAGAGAATTATCTGTATGATGTTTGTTTAATATGTGATTTTCTGAATTGACAGGAACTTGAATCGCATGGACACAAAGCAACACTCATCCCTGTGCTGTCATTTAAGTTTATCTCGTTAAACACTCTTTCGGATAAAGTAAGTTTCATCACAAATTTATACATTTCTTTGTTGTGTTATCTCGTGGTATACATTTTTATGGGCAATGCGTTTAAAAGACTGGATGAAATAGAATCTCTTAAAGCTTTATGAAAATGATCCCTCAATAAAAAACTGAAGGAAAAGTCACCTTTTCAGTTAAAATAAACAACAGTAATTGATGCCTTTGGTGTTTGACTTGATACTTGTACAAACCCCCTTCTCAAGCCTGTTAGCTTTTAGTTTTTTTGCAATAACAGTTTGCAAGGTTGGATCATGCATGAGAAGGATATTTTCACATCTTTAGATTATTTAAAGGCTTTACATTATTCAAATTCTGGGTGCTGCTTTCTTTTTTTATGTCTCTTAACATATTTTCTACCAAGAATTAGGTGATCATGAAGTTAATTTTAAGCTGTTCTATGTTGATCTACTAAACTGATGTTTCAGTTCAGTTTTTGGTTGATTCTTTTAGAATTTTATTTTAAACGTTCTTGCATTTTAAGTTTAAGACCACTTTAGGGGTCAAAGCATGTTCTAATAATTCATCCAAATTAATATTCTGTGTTTAAACAACAGTTTCATAATAGGTGTACTGCATTTGAAGATTTTTTTTATTTATTTTTTCAAAGTTATTTTTTATTGAACTTTTCACAAAATAGACAATGTGAAAATGAGTGAAATTATAGTACAATGTAAAGTTCTTTCTCCACTGCTTCCGCCGAACAGAGAAAATATATATAGAAAATATGTAGATAATATGTATATATATATATATATATATATATATATATATATATATATATATATATAGAAAATACGGAGAAAAAAAAGGATGTAACCACCAAGACTAGCATAAAAAAAAATAAAAACAAAACAAAACCATGTCTCCAATCTTTAGAATTCCATACATGCAGGAACAAAAATACTGCAAAAAAAAAAATAAATAGATGAAACAATATCAAGGCAAGTAAATAGATAAATACATAACAAATTTTAGCCAGCGTAGGAAGGAATGTTACGAAAGGGCAAAGTCCAAATATAATCAAAAAAAGGGATGCTATACCTTTAAAAACTTGCTCATAGACCCCCGTAAGGTACTGTATTTGAAGATTGGATCAGTATTGATGTTTGGTCAAAAGATATTATGAGTTCAGAGAGAAAAACTGCAGCTTTGATTTGATGCTGGAATAGCATGTTGTACGATCTTACTGTTGATTTCTTTAAGAAGTTATTAGCTTAGCATGTAGTTAGTTCATTAGATATTTATTTATCTAATCGGACCACGACCTGTCATCAGCTGCTCTCACATTTCCTGGCACATATTGCGCATACACTGGGAAAATAATCTAGAAATAAGTAGAAATTTCTCAAATTAAGTGCATTTACCCTAACCTGACTCCGCCAGATGGATTTGCTCCGCATATCCATCTGGAAACCTTCAGTTGAAGTAATTTTGGGAAGGGGCGAAAATACTGGTTAGCTGATTGGCCTATGTTGGTGATAGA